TATTTTCAAATTTCCAAACTTCAACCACAAATCTTCCCAAGTTGCCTAAGCATTAAGGAGTATATGGCACAAAACAGAAATGAAAGCTACAGGTTAAATCCACACACAAAGAAAAATGTATTCTGAACACAAATTAAAATAAAAAATCCATGCTGAAGCAGGCAACTACACATTTCCCGTCTACAACGATGCTACCCTGTCCTTGACATCTTCACTGATTTACCCAAACGCTTTCATCTGGATAGGGGAGCAGTCTTCTCGTGCTCAGTATGTCTTCACATTCTAGCTTTTGTCTTAAACATTATGGCGCTTATACTCTACCAAAGAACTTGGAACTACATCTGGTACATAAAAGGTGCAGATAATCTGTCTAGGATAAATGAATGGGGATAGGCTTGGTAGTTCATCCCTGTAATCCCAGCATTCAGTCAGTAAATGCAGGAAAGTCAGGAGTTCGAGACCAGCCCTGGCTGCGTAAAACCCGTCTTAAGAGTGTGAAAGGGGGGAAGGTGAGAAAGACTGGTAATAGAACAGATGAGTGAATATTCCGTAGGCTCACAGGGAGTGGAGCTGCAGGGAGGTGTGGCCTTGTTGAAGGACCTGCATCTCTGAGCTTGGATTTTGGGGTTTCGAAAGCCCAAGCCAGGCCCAGTGTCTCTCTCTTCCTGCTGCTTAACAATCCAGATCTCTCAGCTACCTCTCCAGCACCAAGTCTGCCTGTGTGCCACTGTCCTTTCCATGATGACAGCAGACTAAACCTCTGAACTGTAAGCCAGTCTCAATTAAATTCTTCCCTTCAGAAGAGTTTCTGTTGTCATGGTGTCTCCTCACAGCAATAGAAACCATCACCAAGACAGATGATGAATCTCTTACATTTGCTAATGATTGATAAGGATACCCACATTGGCCTATTGATGGGATCCTTCCTTTCCAGTTTTTGGAACAAACTTCTGCCTCTTACTGTCAATGTAATCCTTATTCTAATGCTAAATTCTGTAAGTTTTAAGGGTTAGGATTTCTCCATGATAAAAGGCCCCTCGGCCTAAGCATATGAATATCTGAAGAACTGAGATCCAGGTATGGAGGCAATATCAGTTTTGTAAACAGTATTTCATTTTATTTTCAGATAAACTGTGTGAAGTCAGCGTCATTCCGACTTCATAATTGAGATGACCAAGGACAGAGATACTGGGAAATTTGTTTTAGATTGCAGACCTCGTTACTAAAAAGATGGGGGCTTGAACCATAGCTGGTTTGTTCCAAAAAAGTCCATGACTCTCTCATCATGCCACCACGGTCACGTCTGGAAACTTCAGGAAACATGTATTTTGTGCCTAGAAGCATGACCACATATAGAAGCCTGTAGAGTTGGTGCCTGTGATGGTTAGTTTTAAATACCAACTTGCCACATTTTAGAATAATCTCAAAGAAAGAGCCTCAACTGTTAGCATGTCCGTGACGAATTATCTAGATACAGGGGATCTAACCCATTATGGGCACCAACATCCCCTAAGCAGTGTATATTGAAAGATGTAGAATACGGAAAATCAAGAGAAGCAGCTTCTAAGTGTTCATTTTGTTGTGCCAGGTTCACGGAACCCCAAAAAGACCTTGACAAGGACTCGACTCCATTGCAAAAACAAAGGTTTCCTTTTATTGTTCAAGCTGCCCAGCTTGGATCTCACTCCATGGCAGGGAAATGAGATGCCCACTAGTCATTAAGGGAAGCTTTTAAAAGGAAAGACAATAAGGCTGAAGGCCACAAATTACAAAGTTTCCATGATTACCCAAGGTCATACAAAGTACAGAGAAAAACAGTAACTACTTGAGCAAGATTAGGCCGGTCCATAAGGTTGCGGGGTCCCAGGGTCCCAGGGTCTATCAATTATCTTCTGGGCTGGGGGATCTTTCCAGCAGTCAGGGGACCTTTACAGCCAGAAGTTAGTGAACAAAGGAATGTTGACATAGCTAATTTCTTTTGACTGGGTGTCTGCACTTTTCGTTAAGGGGTCAAGCTTTCTCTATTATTAGAAATTCCCTTTCACTGTATACATTCAGTGGCCCAAGTTATTAAACTTTTATTAATTTTAATTTTTGGTCTTCCAGTTTCTCTACTATTGACTATAGATGTGATGGCTGCTTAAGTCCCTGCCTCTACTTCCCCTCAACAAGGAACTGCAATCTGGAATTGTAAGACAAATAAACCTCACCCACCCACCAGGTCACTTTAGGTTGAGTACTTTAGCTGAGCAACGTAAATGAAAATAGGGCAGAAACTAACACTAGGGACAGAGCAATTAGTCATTTCAAATGAATTCTCACACAGCCTTCCTTCTTCTTTCCTGAAACCTTAACTCCAAAGGCAAAGGCGTCCCAGACAACATCAACAAGAATGTAAAAAGTGATCAACCCTGACCTCCATCCAGTCTCACAGCTTGAATGGGGAGTATCTTCCCAGTGCGCTCTCTCTCTCTCTCTCTCTCTCTCTCTCTCTCTCTCTCTCTCTCTCTCTCTGTGTGTGTGTGTGTGTCTGTCTGTCTTTCTCTGTGTCTCTGTCTGTCTCTCTGTGTGTGTGTGTGTGTGTGTGAGAGAGAGAGAGAGAGAGAGAGAGAGAGAGAGAGAGAGAGAGAGAGAGAGAGACTTTTTAATAGCGGCCTATATTCTCCAGTTATTATACAACAGCTACTTTATAAGACAATGAAAGGGCTGTCACAAAATGGTCGGTTATAGCCCGGCAAGAGATGGCTGAATGTGTTAAAAGTCCTTGATGCCAAGCCTGGTAACCGCCTCCATATACATGCATAGAATGCCCAGCGTGCACCCCAACCCGCTCCCATGTAAATAAATAAATACAATTAAAAACAACAAAAAAACGAAGGCTGAGTGTGGTGGTGCACAGCTCTAATCCCAGCACTCAGGACGCAAATGCAGACAGGCAGATCTCTGTGAGTTCAAGGCCAGCCTGGTCTACACAGAGAACTTTAGGCCAGCCAGAGCTATGTAGTGAGACTCTGTCAAAAAAAAAAATTAAGGTTCAGTTGACATAGCTAATTGTTTCATTTTTTATCAGTAAATATTTTATCTTTATTTTGTTTATAATTTCAATTTCACACGGGTCAGAGTGTGTATATTTTTAAACTGTTATGTTCTAGGCAGTTTTTCCTGGCTCCTCAAATTTCGGTGTTAGCCATTGGTGAATTCACAAGTTCCAGGAACTAGCATCAGGGTCAAAGCTTTTCGTGGGCAAAAAAGCAACAGCTGAAGGTTGGTTGTTTAATGGCCTCATCTGAGGTTATGTGTCATATTTCCTTACCATGGCCCCCCATTGTGTGTGTGGTATGCATTGTGTGCACATGTGTGCACACGTATGGGAGCCAGAGTTTGAATCCTGGCATTTTTCTACTGCTTTCCACATTATCTATGAGACAGAGGCCCCCACTGGACCTGGAGCTCATCGATTCAGCTGGACTGGTTGGCTAGAAAGTACCCCGCCCCCACCCTCTGTCTCCCAGCACTGGCGTTACAGCTGTACTGCAAGGTCCTTTGCTTTATCACGGGTGGTGGAGATGTGAACTCAGGTCCCCACGTTTGCATGGCAAGTACTTTACAGTCCGTCTCTCCAGTCCCAAGACTTACTATTCTCATTACACTGTACCCCATAAATATTTATAGCTATTGTGTACTGACAAAAGATCTTTCAGTTGTGGAAATGGAATGCTAACTCTTCTGATTTAATCTTTACAAGCTGCACACATATGTCAAATACTAACACCACACTGTACCTTTTCAATTTGAACTAAAATAATAAACTTAGAGTTTGTAAATTCTCTATTTGTATTTGATCTGGGTTTAGCTTATTATTATTGTTTGGTTGGGTTTTGTTTTCAACTGTGTGTCATTTAGCCTAGGCTGGCCTAGACCTTGCTGTGTATTGAAGATGAACTTGAACTCCTAACTGCCCCGCCTCTACCTCCCAATGCTGGAATTACAGGAACGTCCCACCACTCCAGTTTAACCCAGATTTAAACCAGCTTTAGATTTCCAACTGTATATCAATGGGGGGGTTTATTTTGCTAACTTTGTCCTTACTGTATTTGAAGAGTGATATAATGTCAATGATTTCTGCCTTTCCAGTTGTCATGGCCTTTATCTGGTGACTCAGTGCTATGTTCACATGGTACGCATAGACTTTATTTTCTTCTTGGGAGGTGTCCAGATATACATGAAGGTGTGCCTGTATGCCTTTTATAAAATACCGTGTTTAGTGGTCTGGACACTTTTGCCAGCAGTATGGGTTTCCTCCAACGTTTAGGAAAAGTAGTTGCAAAAGGTGTCCGTTTCACAAGCTTTTGCCAGGAAGGTCTGTGTCCCTTTTACGAAGACGCACAGTGGGGGGGGGGTGATGTCCCAGTCTGGGGCAGTGTTTCGCAACCTCCCTAATGCTGTGACTCCCTAATACGTTTGTGGTGACCCCCAACCATATATCTGTTGTTCTGTTTTTTGATAGTCTTTGGTGACCCTGTGAAAGGGTCGTGAGACGCCAGGGGGTCGCGACCCTCAGGTTGAGAATCGATGGTCTAGTGGGACAACTAGGAAATGTATTAAAATCCAGAAAGTGGAAGAACATTGGTTATCCTGCCATAGTAATTTCTCAGAGCCTCTATTTCCCTCTCTATAGCCGTCAGCTATGTCTGCCCTGCAAACATTGTAAGGTGTGTCCGGAGAAGCCAAGAGATAAGAAATGTGACCAACATAAAGTGATTAAGAAATAAAATGCTATTCACAAGGAAAGATAGCTGTAAGAAACAGCAAGTACGGGCTGGTGTTGTGCTGGCTCCTTCCCAGCCCCCAACCACCGTCAGCTTTGGGGGACACCCTGCTGCCTGCATGGAGACACCGCCGCCCAATAGTGTGAGGCTCCCTCTGCGTAGCATTGGAGCTCCCATCCTGCTGAAAAGTGTGTTGTGAGAAAGAGCAGAGAGCTGCCAGCAGCTCAAATTTGCGCTTCAGCACAATCAGCCCAGAGGAGCCCATGCTGCCTCCCCCTCCTGGAGAGGAAGCTGAATGGCAGGTGCAGCCCAAACGTTCATTAATCGAGAGGCTTCCGTCCCCGGATGCCCCTGGATTTTGGACAGAAAAAAATCACGGTCGGATATGTAGGATGAAGATATGCAGGTCCTCTGAGCCCTTAGAGCGCAGGCCCGTAGTCAAGCGCAGGAACTGCCTAGGATGAAGAAGAAAGAGATGGATCGCGCTGTGGCTGCGGGTTTCCAGCGGAGATGCTGCGCGCAGGGCACGCCTGCACCGGAGCCGCTCCGTGCGTCTCTGCGGCACCCCGCCGCCTGCCGGCCCCTTTTCCAATTTGCCCTCGGCCGCAGTCGTCTGCAAATGAATAATTTCCTGCACTTGTGAGTGAGCCCACACAAGTTCCCTAGGCACGGTCTCCTATCCCCTTTCCCCAAGGAAGGGTGGGAGCAGTTTTTCAACCATAACCTTCCTGCCACCTGGGGGGAAGGTGACCCTATTGGGAGGGCGAGCGATTGTTTTACTGGTTCCAAGGCAGCAGAATTAGCTGCCAGTGCTGAAGTGCTTCGTATTCTTTGCTTTTTGACGAAAGGTGGGCGGACCGGAGCCGGGCGCGACCCCTGGGCTCACTTCGGCCCGGACGCTGAGTTTCAGACTGCAGCCTTGCTCGGCGTACACCCGGCCCCTTGGCCGCTCATCCGAGTGTGCAGACGGATGAATGCAGGCAGGCATCCTCTGAGCACTGGTTAAACCTTAGCGTGCTCACCTATGCACCTCCTGCTTTTCTGCTGTCGCCGCTGCGTCCTCCTCCTTCTCTCCCTCGCCTCCCCCTTCTTCCCTCCCTCCCATCCCTATCATCAGCACCACTACCAAAAGTCGTGCCCCTTTGGTAGGTAGAGTCGAGACTCCTCGCCGAAACGAGGGGGAGGGAGACACCCATCCCCCCCCCCATCTCTGCTTAAGCTCTGGGTTTTACTGCAGCAATCGGAGGTGACAGCACCACCTCGGTCTCCTCGGCAGCTCTCCGTGCCCCGGCTCCCCCCAGTGCCGGTGGGGAAAAGCGCCCCCTCCTGAGAGGCTAATCTCCGAAGAAGTGCGAACGAGCTACAGAAAAGCAAATTGTAAAAATGTAGAAGTCACTGGGCTGCATTCCTCGGAGGACAGCCCAATCCCCCAGGACTGAGTGTCAGCGCATAGGAAGTTGGGACCTTAGAGCAAAGGGGGGAGGGGAGTGGTGCAACCCTGCTTTCTCTTCTGGAAGGAGTCGCTGCAAGCCCTGCGGTTGGACACAAGTTTGCGTAAGAGTGTTTTCCTTTTGTCAATTATTAATCACCGGAATCAGTTTGGCAGAACTGGAGTTTTAGTAGTGCAGAGGGCGGGGCCCGAACACCTAACTCTGGGAGCCTCCCCTGCGCCCGGCGCAGAAGCAAGCTAACAGCAGCTGGGGAGAAGCCAAAGCATCCAAGCTCACCCAAAGGCAGGAGGTAAGCATCTCCCAAAATACCTACGTCCAATCCAAAGAAGCTTTCTTAACGCAGAATTTCTGTCTTCGTGGGGGGGGATAGAATTGAGCTTTAATGCAATTTATCTGCTTATTATTTAACCACATTACAACTTTAAGAACTGAATGGGCCCTCTTGCCATTTATTATGTTGGAAACTGACTGTTCACTCAACGAAAGCCAAACTTTATTATCGGAACTTTTCCAACCAGAAAGAAAATTATTTTATATTATTTTAATTATTCATCTGTGTGTGGTTTGTTAATATCCAGGGAAATATCTTAGGATGTGCTTAGCTTCCTTGGTAGTAATATTTATCTAGTTATCTGCTCTTATACTTTTTTTTAACCAATAATTTTCTTTAGGCAAGGGCACACCAGTCAGCTGCCAGCAGTAAGGCATATCTAGCAAAGGATTATTTTCTCGTGATTATTAAGCACAGTGTGTTTTCTCAAGGGTGCTTATGTGATTGTCACAGCAATAGAAATCTTCAGGCCACGGATAGTGTGTGTGAGAGCATCCATGGGGAGCAGGGGAGGAGGCTTTTAGGCACAAGTGTCAGTCCCGACTTGTTTCAAAAGCCATTCAACTGGTTGTCTACAGACCAGCCCAGCTGTCTCCAATACAGAATCAGAGGAATTATTAAATCTAAACATAGCTCCCACAGTTCAAATAAATGTATCAGGGAAACTGAGATGTTTGCCTTTGCAAAAGACTTTATGGCAGGAGTCGTTATTTTGAATCAAAAGATTCTAAGAAACACACAGTCATTTTTGCTAAAGAACTTTTAAAATTTGATGTGTACAAAACTTAATCACTTTGATTTTCATATCTGGTTTATACCTGTGCTTCTTTCTTACTGTAGCCATCATTGTCATCTTTTTCTTTTTTTTTTTTTCAAGACAGAGTTTCTTTGTGTAGCTAGTCCTGGAATTCTCTCTGTGGACTAGGCTGGCCACGAACTCACAGAGCTCAGCCTGCTTCTGCCTTAAGTGCTGGGACTAAAGGTGTGCACCACTAACACTTTTTCATGATTTTTAATAGCTGTGATGACTTCGTATATGGATCACTTAGACCAACAACAAACTTTTGTGAGATACATAACCTCATTTTTCAAAACTTTCTAAACAATTTAACTGCAATAAGTTAAAGACAGTTAGTGAAGGCAAATGCACAGGCACTCAGAATTTTACTGTGTATCAAGCAGAAATTCAACCAGTCTTCAACTTCCATTGATTTTCTTAACATACTGTTTATAAGTTTGCTAATTTGAAAATAAAAATTGCCCTGTATAAGTCTATGGCCAATTCTACCTAACAAAGCCAGTATAAACTTTTGCCACCAAATATGCAGTCTTCATTTCAAATTATCCAAATAGGGGTTGGGGCTGAGAAAATGGATCAAACAGTTAAGTACATTCAAGCACAAGGACCCAAGTTCAAATCCCCAGTACCTACGTAAAAAGGTACTGCAGACTATGCCTGTAGTCCCAGAGTTGGGAGGTAGTGACATGAGAATCCTAGGTAGCCATTCTAGCCAGATTGGCAAGTAAAACCTGAAGTCATAGAAGGAGACATCAAATGTTGACCTGGCTTCCATACAATGCACAAGTATGGATACACACATACCCATGTGCACATACACCACACGCATGAGGAAATCATTCAAATAAGACTCAGCTGATAAAATTACGTCTGTGAGCACACCCCTTACAAAACAATACCTTCTGAAAATTGTCTCCGGATATTATCCTGAGGGAAGACATCCAGCAAATGAAACACTGTTTGAGCAAAATAATCTGTACCACTGCAGTAAGAATGACAAGGGTCATGGTATTTGAGCACAGTCATCTCCCCAGCCTCCTCCAGCTAGGTATGGCGATGATCCACTGTGACTGGATGGTGCAGTGTGTGACATACAAAGTTCCCCTCAACCTAGAATCCAGCCCAAGCTCCAGCCTATTCGAAGTAGAAACAGACCATCAGCCTCCTCATCTCTCCCAACGCTGAGATACAGGAGCTGTATTTCAGGGAGGATGAGCTGAGAACTCAGTCATTCTTCCTATAGTCAAGACACACCACACACACACACACACACCACACACATCATATACATCACACACACACAACACACACCACAGACACACCACACACACACACATACACATCACACACACACATCATACACATCATACACATCACACACATCACACACACACAACACACACCACACACACAACACATACCACACACACACACCACACACCACACATACATCATATACATCACACACATACACATCACACACCACATACACCACACACACACACACACATCGCACACCACACACACCACACACACACACACACACACACACACACACACACACACACACACCCGGCCAAAGATGCAGAATTCAATAAGAAAAAGACAAACAATCCACTTTAAACTAGGCAAAGATTTGAATAGACATTTCTCCAAACAAGATGTGCGTAAGAAATGTGCTTATATTTACTTGTTGGAAAATAATAATCAAAACCATAATGAGATATCACTTCATACCAACCACAATAGTTATAAATGAAATGATCCATGTTGAGAAATCATCCCAGCCCATGTTCAAATAAAGAATTTGGGGGTGGGGGAGATAATGTTAGAAGATGTCGTGGAGAAGATCTGTTAGTTAGAACTGTCATGTGTTGTCAATGGGATATAAAATGATGTAGTGGGAAGTAATTTGTTAATTCCTCAAAAAGTTACACCTAAAGTTACCAAATAATATAATTCTACTCTTAGACACATATCCTAGAGAACTGAAAGTTTACATCCACAAAAGAACCATACCCAAATCCTCATCACGGTTGTATACGCAACAGGCAAAAACGCCAAATAAACAAAAAACCCTGAAAGCAATCCTAGTGCCCATTGAGACGTGAGTGGGAAAGTTAAGCCTGTAGAGCAGCAGACATTCAGCACGCTTCCGCACAACTGAACGGTGAAGGAACTACATACGCTAAGTTACAGACAGCACACATTGTGTGTCATTTCACAAGCCAGCGAATCTATAGAGGCAAATCAGACCAGTTGTTGCTGAGGGCTGGTGTGGAAGATAAGTTGGGGAGAAATGAGAAGTGACTGATACTACAGGGTGTCATTGGGAGATGACAAATTTTAGATCATGGGAATGATTTATGGCTATGGATATTGTACTGCTGAAAGGCATTGAATTGTATACTTAAACTAGGTTAATAGCATAATAAATGAGTTACATCTCAGTAAGGCATATTATTAAAAACCCATCCAATGTAGATGTGGTGGCAATTACCTTTAACCCCAGAACATGGGAAGGTGTTGAAACCTCAAATTACAAGTTTGAGATTAGCCAGAAAAATTTAGCAAGACTCTATCTTAAAACACAAAGGCCAAGCCAGGTGATGGCGGTGCACACCTTTGTTCCCAGCACTTGGGAGACAGAGGCGGGTAGAGCTTCGATTCCAGACAGCCAGGGAAACCCTGACTCAAAGGGAAGAAAACCCACAGAGGGCAGAGGCTGGAAAGATGGCTCCTCTCTCAGGAGGACTGGCTGCTCTTCCAGAGGATCCAGGTTTGGATGCCAGCACCCAAAAGGGGGCTCACAACCGTCTGTAACTGCAGTTCTAGGGCATCGGGGATTCTCTCTTGGTCTCTGCAGGCACCAGGCACGCATGTGACGCACATACATACATGCAGGTGAAACACTTACACACGTCACATAAAAACAAGTCAACCTTTTCTTACAAGGAAAAAATGCCGAGGACTATCTGTGTGACTCAAGCTCAGAGCCTTTGCCTAGTGTGTACACAACTCTGGCTCAGTCCCCAGGACCAGAAAAAAAAAATGTGAAACATGGAAAAACAAATGCATTTAGAACCAATATGAAGCTTCTTTGGTGCAATGGCCATTTAGAAATATATGAAATAATTAAGGGTGGCACAGGAGTTACACAGCTGTATGGTTTGCATAAGTTTGCATACCTGCCCTGGCTTGTCTTCTATTCAGAAAAAAATCAGATGCCATTAACTTCTTGTCACAGAGGATTTACTTGCAATGCAGCATCTGTTTGGACCCACCCATCCATGATATCAACCCTGGACCTGTTGAGGCTAGTTATTCTTCTTGCTTTTAAGTAAATCTAGTCTTCAGCATCTCTTGAGGTTAACTGGTAAATTTGCTATGTCGCACACACTGGGTTAGAGAGGAAGGTACCTTCCCCTCTGTAAAATGGAGATTTCTACTCAGACTAAACCACTCTAATTTACCCCAGGTTGACTCTGGAAGCCAGAGCCGTGGAAGAACTGGGGAAGCAGCCAGGGTAGTCCCCAAAGTACACTGATATGCCCTTGCTGGAAAGCGTCAACTGTAATTATGACAGTCCCCAGTGCAGAGGCCCCGTAAATAATTAATTCATGCTTCTATTTGTCTCCTGTGTTTTGAGTTCCCACAGCTTCCAGATACTATGCTAAGAATCACAGAATGGGAGGGCAATCCTTTGTCCAGAACAAGTATAAAGTTAGTTTGTCTTGGAATCTTGTAAGGTAGGAAGCAGCAGAATGTGTTGCGGGGACAGTTATGAGCACACTGAATCAAATCATACCCTAGGCTGTATGGATTAAAGTTTTCCTGCTTCCGGAAACCTCAGTGAGTTTCCCTCTCACCTCAATAGGCCTGTCCTTCCACATGTATATTTTTAGGAGTCTGACAAACTAATGGAAAGAGATGTCATCCAGTCTCTAACTACCATGTTTAGTGTCATATTTAATTGTCCAATTAGAAGACTTCCATTGAAAAAATTGTGTGCACATATGTGTGTATACACACACATATACAGGTCAGGAGAATGTCATTCCTCAGGTACAAACCCCATCACATTTTTTTTGGTAGCATCTTTAACTTTCTTTAACTGCAAGCTTGAACTATCATGTCATTTTTTTGTGTGTGTGGATTC